GGTTTTCGGGTCGGATGAAATATTGACACCCCTAGTGCGAAGGTGGCGGCGATACAGATGGTGTACGAAGACAGAGATAAGATTAATAACATACAAAGATGATGATATGACTGACAACATGAAAAGCTTATCAACAAAGAAGTTTTAAGGAAATGCAGAGTTTTGATAAGATGAACGTTATTGTTACTATTATTTAAAATTTTAAGTATTATATAAGTGTATAATAAAATTTAAATATTAAATACATAAAAAAAGAAATTTAAGTGATTTATAAATCCCTCAAATTTTAGTAGATATTACGTTTAATGCATTTATGGCACACAAATTCATGGTGGGGCTATATTTCTCCTCAAAACTGACAAAAAAATTGAAGAGAATTAACAAAAAGGCTCAAAAGCTCAATAATCGAAAGAGACCTCTCATCTCCTCAATCAAATAAGAAGCCAAAAAGCCCTCAATTTCCCAACTCTTTCTCGACCCTCAATTGAAATCCAGTCTTCCTTCTCTCCTATGCAGCCTATAACCTCACATGAGAGCTTAAAGTTCCCATCTTTTCCCCCTTTAGCTGTATAAAGCCCAGACCTTTTTCGTCTTCGCCGAGTTCGCCATCTATGTCGTCGGAAAATTGCGGGAAGACGATGATAACAGCATCAGAAGAGCTGTTGCCACCAGCTTCTGTCTCCCCTGACCGGAGCTCTGGCGAAGGCCAGAGGTTCTGCAACGTTAGGGGAGTTAGGTGGAGGATTAATCTAGGAATACTTCCTTCTTCGCAATCAGCTTCAATCGAAGATCTGCGCCGTGTCGCCGCGGATTCTCGAAGGAGGTGTGATTATCGTCTGCCCTCCCTTTGGATTTCTAGGGTTGCCTGAAAAGATACCCTCTTTTTGTCTTTTTAATGTGATAATACTTTTTTGGTGAGTTGGTTTGTTGTGATCTGAGGATTGTTTAGGATCTAATGCTTGCTTTTTTTCTCTTTAACTGTGTGTGTTTTTTTTTGTCCTGAATGAAATACGACTTTAATTTTGGTTTCTATTTTATTTTGGTTCGAATATTGGTTTCATCTTTTTGATAAGATGAGGCTAAATTTTTGCCTTGATGAGCTTCTTATCTTTAAATCTGGTATATGTTTTTTAAACAAGTAGTTTGGATTTTGAGAGCGCTATAGGTCTTTTCGGAATTTCTGCTTTGATTATGAATTTGAACATCTTTAGAACCCCAAATTACATGGGCAGCCATGGGATTAGGTTAGTATTCTCAAGTGACAACCTCTTTTTTTATTTGTTCTCAAGTGGATCTAATTTTCAATCTTTCCATTTGCTACTTAGAGTTTTCTTAATTTTTTAAATTTTAACTTACAACAGATAGCTTTCTCTTGCTCATCCAGTACAATTCAGTATACAATCATGGCTATGAAGTTAAGCTGATAATAGCTTTTCATTAGGGAATAGGAAGGCCTGTGGGTTATTTTCTTGGCTGATTTACAAAGTGCCTTGATAGTTGCTTATCTGAATATTTGAGTTAAAGCTGTCTGAAATGCACTTTTCAAACCTTAGTTATGTGAAAAGGATAAGTGATTACTTTGATAGATGTCCTCTGTTTTCACAGTTATGCAAGCTTGCGGCGCCGGTTATTAGTAGATCCACATACGCTGAAGGATGGAAATAGATCTCCTGATCTGGCTATGGATAATCCTCTATCACAAAATCCAGGTATGTTTACAGATCTTGTTGCAGCTTCTAATGGAATCTTCAGTTTTTTGCATCTTGTAAGACATTTATCTTTTTTTTTTTTTGGGTTTCTAATGCACATCCTCTTGTGCACCTCATGTAGGGTTCCAGCAATATTATTTGGATAATGTCAAGTTATATGAGGAATGTTCTTCCTCTCTTCATGCTGAACTTTCTTGTAGTTTTCTTTTTTATACATCAAAATAACAACTTTTGTTAGAAAATGTTAGAAATGATCTTTCTTTATTAGATTTAAACGAGAATTTGATTTTTAACAGGACACAACGGTGAAAAAGGATTCATGTAGCCGACCCCACGTAGTGGGACAAATGCTTGTTGTTGTTGTAAAATAACAACTGTTGTTAATCCTTGTATTTTTGGCGTATCCATAAATGGAAAATATTTGAATTAGGATTTCACAGCTTAAATTTGATCAGTATGGATTTTCCACTCATTGGATTCACTTTAATATGAATGCAATGCATTTTTAATCACGTAGCTCTTGCATTGCACCTATCTTAAAGTAAATCTAATAGATAGAAAATTCATCCTACCAAATTTGAATCTTGATATCCTGGCCAAAATTTTCTCCTCCATAAATTTCTTGATTTTAAACCATCTATGATATGGCCACTAAACAACTATGTTAAAATTCCATCATTGTTGATAATGTCATGGTATCCTTATCTGCATAACATATTGGTACAGAGATTCTATCAGTAGAGTTTCTATCATTTTTATTTTTTATTTTGGAGATGTATGATGCATGTTTTTAATGTTGATCTAAGTAATTTTGTGACGTTTTTTAATCAATTAGCATGAACCCATCATTAATACTCAACACACAAGCACTTGGTGATCTTTTTCATAAAACTTTTTACAGAGAGCACGTGGGGTCGATTCTTTCACCATGCTGAAATAGAGAAAATGGTCGACCAGGATTTATCGCGATTGTATCCCCAAGATGGTAGCTACTTTCAGACATCTACATGCCAAGGCATGCTGAGAAGAATCTTGTTATTGTGGTGCCTCAGGCATCCCGAGTATGGCTATGGCCAAGGTATGATGTTTACTATTTATAATCGACCACACGGTGAATTGTATCGACCATTGAAGCTAATCAAGCCATGTGTTCTACAGGAATGCATGAACTATTGGCTCCTCTAATATATGTATTACATGCTGATCTTGATTACCTTTCGAAAGTTCGAGGGCTTTATGTGGACTGCTTTAATGATGAATTTGATGAGTTGTCCTATCCAGAGAGTGGCCTTCTGTCTCATAATACAATGAAAAAGGCCAAAAGCTGGGATTTAGGAGGCAATGGCGACTTTTATCGGGGAAACGGGCCCAAAATTACATGCCTTGATGATCTCGATCCGGATACGAGGGATGTTTACTTATTAAGTGATGCCTATGGAGCGGAAGGCGAGTTGGGTGTGGTTATATCTGAGAGATTCATGGAGCATGATGCTTACAGCATGTTCAATGCATTAATGAGTGGTGCTCATGGGGTTGTTGCAATGGCTGACTTTTTTTCTATCTCTCCTAGTATTGGATATAGCACAGGTATACCTCCAATAATCGAGGCCTCATCTGCACTGTATCACTTACTATCTGTTGTGGATTCGTCTCTTCATAGTCACCTTGTCGATCTCGAGGTTGAACCTCAATATTTTGCGCTCCGATGGTTGCGAGTCCTATTCGAACGGGAGTTCTCACTTAATGATCTGTTAGTCATTTGGGATGAATTGTTTTCTGCTTCAAATGATTCATGTATGGAGAACGATGAGTATCAGTTTAGGGTCCTGTGTTCACCTCGAGGAGCTTTCATTGCTGCCATGGCAGTCTCCATGTTACTGCATGTTAGGTCATCCCTGTTGGCCACTGAGAATGCAACTTCCTGCCTCCAGAGATTATTGAACTTCCCAAGGAATATAAATGTGATGAAACTGATAGAGAAGGCAAGGTCTTTCCAAGCCCTTGCTTTGGAAGCAAATATGTTACCAGGATCATCATCACAGCATTGTTTCATGAAAAACAGTTCATTAGTAGCAAGTAGAGCTGGTTCAATCTCTCCTAAGACGCCAATTAGAATTTTACCTGACAGTTACTGGGAAGAAAAATGGCGAGTGCTTCATAGGGAAGAAACACTTCAAAAGAGTGATTTGAGCAGAGGGAGGAAGATCAAGGACTTGTTGGGGAAGAAACTAGGGTTATCTAGGACAGAATCAGATCCTTCTCCTGCAAAAAAGTTTAGCGGGAAGAAACAAGCAGGTTCTTCTTTCAGGCGTAGGCTATTTGATGATTTGCCTCAGAAGTTTGAGTCTGAAGGTGATGCAGGTCACCATATTTTACCAGGTCAAGAGTCTCCTCCTTTGAATGAAGATGTGAACAACCGTTTATTTGAAGAACCTGGTGATCCAAATATCAGAAGAACCTCTGATGAGCCATGCGATTTGAATATCTCAAGAACTTCAGAGTGCGTAGCTGAAAACACTTGCTTAAGCACAGAAAATTCCTCATTGTCTTCCATGGAAACAGCTCCCACTGAGGGGAATGATGGTGAAATTGAATCAGAGAAGAGTAGTCTCTCTTCGGATTCCTCATTCGGAGAAAATGAAGATGAAAATAATCTTGCAGAGGAGGAATGCAATAGTTATTCAGAGAATTTAGTACCTAATGTCGTAGAAGCCAATGCTTCCATTGCCAAATCTGAACAAAGTGAGAATGCTGAAGCAGTAGGAGTACCAGATTTGAAGGAGAGAAAATCACTTTCTGGCAAGTTTCAGTGGTTTTGGAAGTTTGGAAAAGGAAATTCATCCGAAGGAAGCTCTGAAAGAGGAGCAAATGCAAAGACACAGAGATCATCTAGCTTTGGAAGTGGAAATGTTTGCCATGAAACATCAGGAACTTCAGTTTCTGACCGCAGCTACTGTAGTGATAGCGTAAAGATAGAAGCTGGAGACAAGAAAGTAATGGGTTCCCTTAGGAATCTTGGACAATCCATGCTCGAGAATATTCAGGCAAGTGAAGTTTCCCTATTTTTTTAGTTCTTTTGTTTCATTCACTTCTACTATATCAAAAATACCTTCCTAAAATTTTTAGAAAGATACAAACGCAAGTCATTGGTTTTCTTGATCAAACTAATTTTAATTTCTCATTGAGTTCTTATTCTTGCTTGAGAAATTAAAATGTGCACTCTTTAATATGATTCCATGTTTTAGATATATTGGGTCTATTGTTTAGAGTGATGGTGAAATAGATGGGGATATTATTAATAGAATTCAAGTTGGATGGTTGAAGTGGAGGAATGCATCGGGCTTGTTGTGTTATAAGAAAAGTCCCCCTCAAACTTAAGGGAAAATTCTATAAGATGGTGGTGAGACCTGCAATGCTTTATGGTTTAGAATGTTGGTCGTTAAAAGAGAAGCATGTTAAGTGTTGTAGAGATGAGGATGCTCAAGTGGATGAGTGACTTTACTCTTAGAGATAGGATACGAAATGAGCATATACGTGAAAAGGTTGGAATAGCTCCAGTGGAAGATAAGATTATTTTGAGTCGTCTTAGATGGTTTGGTCACATAAAACGGAGGCCTTCCGATGACCCTGTTAGGAAAGTAGAGGTATTAGATTTGGCTTATGTTAAGAAAGGTAGAGGTAGACTTAAAAAGACTTGGTTAGAAAATATTAGAAATGACCTTTCTTTATTAGATTTAAATGAGAATTTGACTCTTAACAGGACACAATGAAAAAAAAAAGATTCATATAGCCGACCCCATGTAGTGGGATAAAGGCTTGATGTTGTAATCGTTGTTGTTGTATTGAGTTCTTACTCTTCTAAATATTAAGTTTGGTAAAGTCTTCAAACTATTATGTCTAAATTTAAATGCTAAAGCTTGATTGTCTTCATTACTTCAGGCCATTGAATCGGTTTTCCAACAAGAAAGAGGCCAAGCAGGCAACGTTCTTGGTGGCAAAGGACAAGCTACAGCCTTTGCAGCTCTTAAAGAACTTCGAAAGGTCAGCAATCTTTTGTCAGAAATGTAAGTCTCAGTCTTCCTACTTTTATGATTGTATCAATTTTTCTCTTATTTAGTATTCAAGTAAAAGCTTCTTGGCTTCTTTTTTCCTTAGAAAGATATAATTGTGGTGTAAATATCAATTGCAATTTATGAGAGAGGAAGGCTGCTGTAAATCCATTTTTGGATTATCTTGTATCTTGGAAACAAGCAGGAAGCAAGTTACTGCGTACTAGATATCTGTCTGTGGCTCTGAAATAAGAGGCTCCATTGAATTCTCATCTTAGTATTCTTTTGCTTTCTTTTGAGTTTTTGAAGACAAGGAAATATTGTGACTAGATGTGGTGAATGCTGCCTTTCTTGTATAGATGAGATTGAACATTACAAATTTTGATTGAGTTAGTAAAATTTGACATACTGAAAAGTTATTGAAGTATCTAAAACTTATCTTTTAGATGCAGACATCTTAAACATTCAAATTTTAAATGGCTAATAACTTTTACTTTTTAAGTTTTAGTCATTCAAAATTTATAATGGTGAAAGCTGTGTGCAAATAAGCAACTCTTATACATGGGATTGTGGTTATATTCATGCCGACCTCGTATAGTGAGATAAAGTTTTGATGCTATTGTTGTTATTGAGAAATTGTTCTGTGCAGAGTCCGAATGAGAAGAATCGTTCTGACATGTAAGTGTATATATTGTTTGTATGTATACTGATTTGATACACTGTACAAATATATACACTGTGTAAACTCACATGTCCAGAGAATTCTTTTCGTCCGGACTCCGCACAAAATAATTTCTCGTTGTGTGGATAGGATTCGAAGTTAAAATCTTAGAGATAACTATCAAAAGCTCTTATCCCTTAAGTCAGCAGTCAACTATATATATATATATATATATATATATATTCAGAGCCTCTCTTATTTGATTTTGTTGTAATGAAAGAGACTTGTAGCACAAGTGAAGTACTTATTGAACTTTGTATGAACTAATAGGTCTTACTCTTGATGATGAAATCAGCCTTAACCAGGTTGCTCCATGACTATGAGATGGAAAGCAAGTGAAGTACATGTATCAATGTAAAAAATCCTTTCATTTGATGCTGAGAACAGCAATAACATCGAGTCTTTTATGTTAATACTTGGGTCGACTACAAGAATCTTATTTCTTTATTTTGGCCTATTAAAAATCAAATTATGTCTTCATTTGGGATGGCTTTCTTTTTGTTTTTTAAAACAATTTTTTAGTACAAAATTAAATTTTAGTACAAAATTTTTAATTTTGTATTAAAAAATTGCTTTAGAAAGCAATAAAAAAGTTGTTTCAAACGAAGCTTATGATAAATGCATTGATGGTTTGACAAATATTTTATTTTGTTTTATTTATTATCCTAGTCATAATTTCTCCCACTTGGATTAAATATTTCAATGAATTAAATGCATGTCGATTGACTTGCCAGTTCACATGAGCCCACCCTTTCATCATTATGTGCTATCATACATGCATGCACTCAACATGATACATCCCAATTAAAAATTATTTTTAAACTCCTTAAAAATACTTCATAAAATATTATTATAGGCGTATCAATTAATTGATATTTATTAATCAAATATTTCCGCTAAAAGATTTTTTTTAGTAATGAAATTTTCTTATTAAATGCCCATCTTAATTTGTTGGTTAGCAATTTAGGCTTCATTTGTAAGAGCTTTTTTTAATGATTTTTAAAATAATTTTTTAGTATAAAAATTTATTGAACTAGAATTTTTTGTACTAGAGAGTTGTTTCAAAAGGAAATAAGAATTCTATCTCAAATAAAACCTTAGTTACCGAACAAGATGTCTTGAGCTCAAAACTTATATATATAATATGTGAATTTCCGTTTAATTCATTCAAAAGTCCTAAAAATTTGTTTTCTTGTTAAATAATTACAAGTGACACACCGAGGATTATGGTGGTTGGTGGGCGAACACGGTTGTGAACCCTCCATCCCGGGTTCGAATCCCCTTTACTATGACCTCACCTCTTAAGTGGGGCAAAGCAAGTGTGGATCTGATGCTGGTGGGTGACTTCGCTAAGTTATGCCGAAGAATTAGTTACATCGCTAACGCTTCCTTTGAAGTGACAACGAGTAGATACCTCCGTTTAAAAAAAAAATAAAAAAATACAAGTGTTCTCGAACACTGGATTAGGATTCGTGACCAAATCTCTTGCTGGCTAGATAGCAAGTTGATAGGTGAGATCATTAACCAAAATGGCTAATAATTGGAAAGACTTTGTGAGCTATTGATCAAAAGAGATGATTATATCTTATAGAATATGTATTCAAATATAATATTTTAAAATTGATTGCTCTGACAAACAACTTTGCAACCTTCTAATTTAATAGTGGGGCAAATGTGTATCTGGATAAGGTGTTGACTTGGACTTGTCATAATCAAATGATGAAATAATTTTAAAAATGGCAAAAATACATTTCTTTTATTTCAAAAGAGCCTAAAAATAAATTTAACATACTACAAATGCTGCCCCATCAACCATGCTCAATAAATAATTATTAAATAATAATAATAAAAAAAAAACATAAATTCTCCACATGGACCAAAAAACAATAATACTGTAATAATAGCTATGAAGCATAAAGAAAGAATATTACAACAAAGCATTTCTCAAAGCCAATATATTGTGCATCAGAGAATGAAGAAAGATTGCTAATATTAGATTTTAAACGCTTCTGTTACTAACAAAAGCACAAGTAAGGCCTTTCCAACCTGTATAATTGGTACTGAGCACAACAACATGGACGTTCAGTAAAGCCATGGAATGACTCTGGAAGGTACCTTGTTACAGTACAGCTTCCAGTATTTTCCATACCTGAAACAAACAAATCACATTACAGGTAAACAAACAGGTCATATTCCTTGCAGGATTAGGTAGACATGATCTGAAACAAATGAAAATTTTGATTAAACCATCCAGTCAGGATGAATCATGGTTGTGAAAATCAGAATGAATCGAGCGGTAGAAAATCAGGATCAACACGTAAAAATACATAGTCGAAACGCTCGAACTTGAACTGGGAGTAGTTGAACTAATTTAACTCGAAATTGCAATAGATAGATGTTGGTTTTTGGACTTTTCATGAAGATTGCGAAAATCGGACCGAATAATGAACTCGTAGAAGAAGAGGTTCACAGTTCGACTGGTCGAATCGAAATTGAACCGGATGACGTAATAAATAAAATTTAAATGACATAAAAATCATATAATAATATTTATTTTTTATTAAAAAATAAATTAAATTCATAGATTACGATTATCTTATATAATTTTAAATTTAAACATATTCAATCTTTAAATTTTATTCAAATTTAACAAAAATTTAACTTAAATATCAATTTATAAGTTTAATATAAATTATTATTACATTATATTATATAAATATATATAATTCACACTTATAGATTATATATTAAATTCATACTATTATTTTACATTTATAAATGATTGAGGTTAAATTAGAACATTGAATTTTTATTTCTATCAGTTCAATGTCTGAGACAATTCCAAAAAAATTTGTATGAATGATACGCTATTATGCACAGTAGGAGGAAGCATGTCCAATTCCTTACTTGGATGAACACCGATCATCGTCCCTCTTTGCCCGATCGAAGAGGAGAATGGTAAGAAAGATCACGTAGAAGTAGGGCAAGAACTGAGTGCAAAAAAAAAGCAGTTAGAAGGATCAAGAGTACAGTAATGTTAAGATGAAAAAATTTACATGCGAATAGATAAGCTTTACATGGTTAAAAAGGGCTGGAGCAGTCCAGAAAAATGCAGCTAGTATCTCTGGTATATAGTGAAAATGACGAGCTAAACCCCACCTGAAGGGAAAAAACAAAAGAAAAATAATTTGTTAAATGATTGCAAGAAGCTTGCATTCGAGTTTACAAAGTGATTTCTGACAATGATGCATTATTTAGGCATATAATCAGGAAAAAAAAGGTAGAATAGATGATTGGAGAGTCACCAGCCAGAAGTTAGGAGGAGGCTAGTTTTTGTTTCACCCTTTGTGGTAACATAGGTGGCAACTATCTGTTACAAATATATAAGAATTAACAAAAAGCATTCATACAAAGAACTTGAGTTACTAAGGCTTCGTTTAGGACGGCTTTCTTGCTGTTTCTTAAAGTAGTTTTTTAGTTCAATAATTAAAATTTTTGTACCAAAAAGCTGCTTTAAGAAGCAACAAGAAAGCCGTCCCAAACGAAGCCTAAATGAAAGACTTCAACCTTGGATGGAGGCCTTCCCCAGATCAAACATTTCCCATTTGTTTTTCGAAATTCTTGCCGTTGCCTATCACAATCATAATTGATGTATATGCACAGAAGTCCAGCTAGGAGTATAGATATTGCAAGCTGCAAAATTGAGAGCTCAATACAATGGCAATGCAACTATTAATCTCCATCAAATCTAAACCGGTTCCCACATAATAAGTCCTTCAGAGAAATGCATTTGACTCTGAATGAAGTATACTCCTAATGTGGTAGGGGCATGCTATGTTTGATAACTGGTTAAAGTTTCAAACCAAATTAAAAAAAAAAAAGAATGCCAATTTGAAAGATATTACCTGGGTACCTAGATTCACTGGATGATTTACAAGATACATGCCAGGGGAAGTATAGATTGAAGGTACCCACACTAGGCATCCCCAGCAAATGTAGAATCCAGCTGAAGACCAAAAGGATTGAATGAAACACAATTTAACAAGAATGAATAGTGTCGCATAATAGGGAAAGGAAGCTGATTGAAGCACAACATAGCAAGAAATTTACTAATGGCCACTTAAGAAAATTAAAGCTATTGGAAAGAAAAAGACATTTTCTTCAATAATTCTTCAGACAAAGTGTAAGGTTATTTCATAGAAAAAAGAAGGGACGGTACCTATAGCATGTTTATGCCCACAGAAAAACAAGAAAAACTGCCCACTCACCACTACCCATTCCCTGTGTCCAGACACCCTCTAGGCGTTTATAAACAATTTTTACAAAGATAAGGTAAATTCATAATTTATCTAAGCACATTAATAACAATTTGAGTACCTCTATCATGAGCAATATCCATTGTGCACCAATATCCAGACTCCCACAAGAAGAATTTGGTTACATAGGCCAGCGTCAGAATGGTGTATATTAGCATGGAGTTGGCCACTTGCCCATTATGTTCATACTAGAAAAAAAGAAAATTTATTTAAGCAATTATGAAGTATTTAACCCGAAAAGATGCTATCGAGCCTAATAAATAGGCGTAAAATAAATTAATGATATGATATTCAAACATTTAAATGTTAAATATGATGAGATGTGCTTAAAAGAGAGACGTGAGAAGCTGGATATCCAACAACATAAAATTGGTTATAAAAACAGGATGCCTAACTCAAAGATGATGTTGAAAAATTTTAATGAACTTGATAAATATAGCCTCAACATTATCGATAGCCTGCAATAACCTGAAAAAACAAAAAAGGTTCACAACTGCAACAAGACTTAAACCAAGAAGCTCCATGACCCACGGGAGGGAGGGATTAATTATTCTGTGTGGATGCCGAACGCCGTCCGGAGACCAACCAGAATGTGCCACGTCACCCCCTCATTCGGTACCGCGGCTTGGTACCACTCGGCACCGAAGCTCAGTACCACTCGGCACCGAAGCTCAGTACCACTCGGTACCGAAGCTCAGTACCACTGACGTGATGCAATCTGATTAGTCTCCGGACGGCGTTCTCCGTCCGGTCTCCACATAGAATAGTTTCTCCACCAGAGGATGGCATGATGCGCATATTTTCACAGAGTGAAAGATCAGCAGCATGTTGGGCCAAGGAGTCATCATTAGTTGGTGGAAATTGTTTCTTGAGTAATATTTGTGATTATAAATAGGATTGCATGGCTTAATAAAATATCCTATGAATTTACAAATTATTTTTTTCCTTTTGGAATTTTAATGTTGATTAGTTGCAATACTTGAAGAATTCTCAGAGTGGCTGTATCCTAGTATAATTGTGAAACTCATTTTTCCCATGATTTCATCCGTTTCTTTTGTTCTCCTAGTTCTTCGTCTTCTTCTACATTTTTTCATTATTATTTGAAAATGATCTTTTAATTAGATTTGTTATAATCTAGACTTTCAAAAGCATGAAACTATAATCAAGTGCATGGATTTTATAATCCTTAATTTTCTAGACATTAACTCCAAAAGGCCACATTTTTTTTTAATTTCTAGCCATAATTTCTAATAGAAGACGCCACTGATCTTTTGTCAAAATTTCGTTGATTTCTATCATGTCTAGTTTTCTGCTACGGTGAATTGTTGCTGGTTACCTTTCACAAGGGTGATTGCAAGGTGGTTTATCCTTCAGTGCATGATCGTATTGTTGCTAAAGTACTCAGGCTGCGCTGCTGCCATTTCCATTAAGGAGATTAGCTCCTCTCCATAACTCTCCTCTATTTCCACAATCACTTGGATTTCTACCACTATTGGTTCAGATGTTGAACATCACCATTACTCGCACTACACCAACTGCATTGCCTCAAACGCATTGCAATCATCAGGTCATCAAGAACATTAGTGTTCCAATGATGCAATTTTCGTCACCATGAACATTAGTGTTCCAATGATGCAATTTGCTCTCCTTTTGATCAAATAATGGTATTACCCAAACTAAATTAATTAATTAATTAATTGGGTAGTGTATTTGAAAAACTTTAGTAAACGAGAATTTGACTTTTAATAGGACACAATGGAGAAAAAGGATTCATGTAGCCGACCCCACGTAGTGGGATAAAGGCTTGATGTTGTTGTTGTATTTGAAAAACTTCACGCTTTAAAAAGCTAGATTAATCAAAACATGATCGCAATGTGTTAGGAATTTTTCCCAAATAGTATAATTTATGGTCAGTAAATAAAATCATAAAGCTAGGGATACGTTTACATTTTTTATATAAAATTACACATTGATTTTCTTCTCGTTTCAATTATATTTTTCTCCCCGCACATATTTCACCCTTCATCCAAATTTGTGATTGGTTGAGAAATAAAATAGCTAAAAGACAAATTTTCATTATTTTTTATAATACCAATGATTTTAGTTGCTTAAGAAATCAAACGTTCAAAAATTTGGTTTGAAGGTAGAGAGGAAAGGCTCACGCATCCTTCTAAAAGGATAGTATTTTATCCCACAGAGAGATTATACATATGAGAATATTTCAACAAATTAAAGATGGCATATAAAAGTTCAACTAATATATAAATTAAACAAGTATGTGGCGACATTCCTACAATGTGTGCTTGAAGTGTGTTCGTGCGCTTCTGCATGATGATCACCAATGGCGTACTTAAGCGATAGAAAGTGGGCAAAGATTCACGCTCTCCTGCATATATGCTTGAAGTGCATTCGAAGTATGTTCCCCAGGTAGTTTGGTTGAAGATAGCACCATCACAGACGATGGTTGATGGTGTCAGAGATGCAATAGGTATGATGAAGGTTTTAGCTTGTTCTTATATCTCAAAAAGTACAAACAAAACAAGGAAGAATGCTCACACTCTCCTGGATGTGCTCCATAGCTAGTTTGATCAACAATGGTAAAGCCAAAGATGAAGTCATTGGTGCTATAGATGTGATAATTTTAAGTGAATGTTCCCCTTATTCTAGAGCTCATGAAGGTTCATACTCTCTCACATTTGTGCTTGAACCGTGTTATCTGGCTAGTTGATCAATGATGGTGTTCTCTAAGACAAAATCAAATTAACAGTGTTGGAGAAAAGATAGATAAAGAAGTTGCGGAGGGAGTAGACATATAATATCTTGGAAACCGCAAATGCCACAATAATAAAAAATGGAGAGGTCGAAGTTCGAGAGAAGAAATGGCATAATGTTTTGAGTTCTCTTATCTACCACGAGTTGAATTATATTTAATATCAATATTTCAAACCTTTGGATTTAAAATCCAACGGTGGATGTATTAGGCTAGCATGGACTTTCTCCTCCTAGGTGGAGAATAATCATTCTCCACCCACTTATAATTTGATGTTATGATCTTCAAATCAATATCAAAACCTTTAATTCTCTTTACCATCATTAAATCTAGTTGTATATACTTCAATACATTCATGTTTTCTGCTTTCGCAATGAGTTCCCTGTTTCTACCCATAGATGAGGTATCATATTCAACATAAGTTTTCTGCTTTCGCACGTAGGCGAGCTACTGTATTTATTCTGGGTCTATTGCACTTTATTTGCAGACAAATAAATATGTTCATTAGAAGTCAACTATCCCGGCCCATAGGCAAGCTATGAAGTCGTAGTACAAACCCCTTGTTCCTCCCCACAAGCAAGGTGTTACATATCCCTTGATATTGTTCATAAACAAACTATCAATTTCATGAAAAGCACCTTGTTTTCTTTTGTAGGCAGGTAGTTATGTTTACAACAAATAACTTGCTTGGGCTCATAGGTGGGCTACAATGTTCGTGATGAGCACATATCTGATAATCGCTTTCCTTGATGCACTTGATTGATCATGGAATATGTTTAGAGGTCATCAACATATTCCATAATTAGCTTTGACTCCTAGATTATGTTGTGTGTGTTTAGGGGAAGATTTGACAAGACTAAACTTACAAAATCAACCTAATTAAGGATTTGCAAGAATCAGGAAACTATATAACCTTTCTCAACTGAAATTCAGTATAATAAGTACTTAAAAAAAAAAAAGGAGAATAACGACTAACCTGCTTGAAGCAGTAGGTCATGGCAAGAACAGCCCATGACATCATACCAAATCGGCAGTTTGTGAAAACCTTAATATCAAAGTCTTTCCCAATGCGAGGATACAATTCCATCCCCTGAGGAATCAAATAAGCTATAAATTAGTTACAATACATTTATATGCTTCTGCAATTAGGTTAGGGATCTGTTATGCACTAATATGCATTATCCAACCTACGTAAAACCATATAAATTACTGTCATGAAGGGCATAAATTAAGATCTCCTAGTACTAATTATATTTTGACGTCATATGTTTCTGCAATTATTGGCATCATAGAAACCATCAATTTCAATGAAGATTGAGACAAAACACAACACATACAAACAGCAATCAGCTAGATCAAATTTATGTCCATAAAAAATCCAAAACACTAGATAGCAAACAGACTAAAAGACTTACCCAATAGAAATCAACTATTGGATTGCCAGATGATCCAGAGTCGGTAGAAGATGGAGCCACATGACCCTGAAAAAAAGACGCCATTGCTGCTCAAAATAATAAGATTAATAGAAAATTTAAAAAAAAAATGAATAGTATTTAAAAATGAACAAACTTACTTTCAGGTATAAGAAAATGCAAAATACAAGGCTTCCCACAACAAGTGCTGAATAAATTTCTCCAAGATGATCGTAAACGATTGAAGGGTCAAATATCTCAAACCTTACATGAAGAAGATCAACTGTTAAATTAAAATAACAAATTTCAGGGATAAGAGCTATCATTTATGAGTCTGTACTCTGGGCAAACAACAACATATGTATCATAAACATAGATAATTCTTTTGAACTTCCATCTGGATAATATTACATACCAGTCATTTTGAGTCCCTTAAAAAAATAACCTTTAGCCAAAAAAAAAGTGCACATTAAGATATGAATTTAAGAAAGAAGTCATCATGGTATCCAAAGAGATTATACTGGAAGAAGAAACATAACTAATACAATGACTACCAAGTACCAATCATCACAGTTCATTTCCTAATGCCAATTAGCTGAGAAAGAACAGAATGACTGCCAGTCCTCCATTCCTATGGATATAGCAAAAGGCATAACCAAGCTTTAAATCAGTCCTCCCTCTACATGTCAATGTACTGATGTAATTATTTGGCAAGGAAATGTAAGCTTAATATATCATTCAAGGCTTTGTTGTTTTTTGACGAGGACATCCACTGGAGATTTCGACATACTTACGATACATAATTTCTTTTATGTTGTTTTAGTGCATTACTTTTAATTAATTTTTTCAGTTTTCCACTTGTACCCCTATGAGGGATTTGTTTCATGTTGTAGCCGGAGGGCATTTGTATCTTTTACATTTTTGTGCTTTGGAGGCCTATATATAAAGGCCTAGTCTTTGTATTATTTTGGGGGATTACGAATTATGAAGAAAATTTCAGCTTTCTTTGATCTCTTAGTGAGTTCTTGAGAAGAAACTCTAGGTGGGTGAAAGCAATACCTGTCAACCTTTGGAGGATTCCAAGGTTTGCGGTTCTACAATCTCTTAATAAGTTATTGGTTCTTTTATTTTAGTCTTCATCTTCCTCTTCCCTCTTCCCCTATACCGCCGACAATCCCCTCCCTATCTCTCCAAACCGACGGCCTCAACCTGATGTAGACGGGTAGGAGGATTGAATCGTAAGGGTCTTGAAGAGCAAATCGAGGGGTCTAAACAGCAGCTTTTAACTCTTAGAAGTCTTGGACAGCAACTCTGAACTTTAAGGCCAGCAAAACAGCAATAGGAGATTGCTACTATGGCTGGACAGTAGCGTTGACACTTGGAAATTTCTTGACAGCTACCTCGGATGCTTGGGAAAACCTTAAACAGCAGCTATAAGGTGCTAGGAGTATTCTGGACAGCAAGCTGCAGTCTTCAAAACGTGCAAGGCAGCAAAGAAAACACTTTGCTGGAATGTGGGCAGCAAACAAGAGCTTCACGGGAAGAGGAGGGAACTTCAGATTTTTGGAAAAGGGAGTTTGGGAATTGGAGGGAAAAACTAAGGCAATAATTTCACTTGAAGTAATTAAGAGGGAGAGAGAGGCGGCAAGATGGATAGGAAGCTGGCGGGATTGAGGGATTGGGGGGAATTTTATTTCCTAATGCCAGGTTCTGGTTTAGGAAATAAATTAGGACTTGGGATTTGGGAAAGTTTCGGCCAAAGGAGGAGAGGGAAATTGAAATTGCTTCCAATAGTGGAGGTTGGGAGAATAGGAAATAAATCCTAATTATTCCCTATGGGGGGCCGGTGGCAATGAGGGTGAAAGGGGCAATTAATGAGGGGATTTATGATATCCTAGTTTGGTTTTAGGCTTTAGGAACGTATTTAATCAAATCCAATTTGAATTAGAATTTCAAAATAGATGTGAATTAAAACTTTCCTAAAATAGGTGACTTAAATTAGGAAAGATTTTTAATTCAAACTTGATTGATTTTGAATTTCAGAATTTTCCACCAGTAGTCTTCAACCTAATTAGGAAACTCAAAGGTGAAGGGAAGTGGGGTGTGGCCGGCGGCAAGGAAGGATTTCGGGCAAGGGGGCCGGCAGCATGGTGAGGGAGGAGGGAATTGTGAGGGCCTTCAATGCTTTATTAAATTAAGAAATTAAATTCGGAATGAAAGATTTCATCCAATTTAATTTGACATTTAAATAAGCTATGAATTAGGAAGTTACCAAAAATAGGTGAACTAAATTAGGAAAGAAATTTGAATTTTAAATTAAGTCCAAATATCATGCACCCCAAATTAGGAAATCCAAGGAGAGAGGAGAAAGAGGATGAGGCCGGCAGCTAGGGAGCCATGGCCGGCGGTTTGGAGGATTTTCTGGTGAGGTGGCTGGCGGCTTATGACAGAAATGGAGACGACGATGGTGGACGTAGGTAGAGGAAGACGACGACGGCTAGGAACAATAAGAAGGAACAAAACAAAAACAAAGATAGAAGATAAAAACTGAGAGCCTTGGATTCTTCCGAAGACTGACGGGTGATGCTTTGCCCTTCTCCAAGGGACCTCAAATCACGAGCCCGGACCCATCCTGCGGCTGGTGAAACTCCGATTCCTTCCCATAGGAATCTCACTAACGCTCTCTCAAAAGAACACAAGTGTGGAACACAAATTTTTAATATCAATAATTCATCCTTATTACAATAGCTTAAGGCCCTATATATAGGCCACAACATAAGAAAACTCAAAATACAAAATTGTCCCTTGGGCCACAACACTCACATAAATCAGCCTAGGGGTAAAACATGAAATACATAAAATAAGAGCTAAAATTCAGAAAAATAACTCATAATTGGAGATTTAAATTATAGCCGTCGATTTGCGACGCCTCCTGTGATAGATGCGCCAAAGCTTCGTACCGATGTCCGCATCATAACCCCTCCCCTTGATTCCCCATTACCCGCCGCCCCTCCACCTAACAAGCCGCCAGCCACTTCATCAACCCGGCGGCTGGCCCCACCCCACCACCCCTCTCCCACACAAGTCCAAACCGCTGACCCCTCCAATTGATTCCCAAATTTGAAATTCAAATTTCAAATGCCCATTAATCATTTTCCTAAAATGGGTTTTAGCTAATTAGGAAAGCTTCTAATTGAAATTTAATTAAACAATTGATTTCAAATTCTTTCCTAAGGTTAGAATTTAAATTAGGAAACCTCTCTAATTTGAACAAATTTGAAATTAAATTCAGATTTGTTTCAAATCTTTATTTCCTCCCTTGGGGCCCGCATGTTTAATGAAATTAAACTCTCTCCTAGCCCTATATGGCCGGCCACCTCTCTTGGATCCCCCTCTCTCTCCTAATTAATTCAAAGCCTCCATTAAAGCTCCTCAATCCCTTCCTAAATCTCGCCAAATAACCTCCTTTCTCCATGCATGCCACCGACCCTCTTTGGCCTCCAAAATTTTGAATTCAAATTTTGAATTCTAGTTCTTACCTCCACCTCATTATTTCCTTTAATTAATTACCCTCTTTGGATAATTAATTCTAAAAGGAAAATTAAAACCTCAAATCCCCTCCATTAACCCTAGCAGTCCCCTCCCTCATCCCACCTAGCCCCAAACCGCCACCCCTCCTCTCCCTGACCACCAAAAGCCGGTCCTCCCCCTCCAAGGAACACAACAAAGAGTCCTCCCATGTCCATGTGTGGCGGATCCGAAAGTTGATCACAGATTCGTTTACAATTCTCAAGAGGAGATCGACATCATTCAATCATCTTTCTTCGATCTCGAATTTGGATCCAAAGACACTGCCGAGGAATAAGTGGAGTGTATTCTCTTTACTTTGGTGGACGTCATCAACGAGCAACAACCTACAGGACAGTGAAAAATCGCAGGACGATCACCCCCCTCTCCAACTCCGGCCAACTTCCCGTTGATCAAGATCGCCAACCTCTTCTGTCTTTCAGTGACATCACTTGGATTGTTGACATCCCTCCTCCGTTAACCCTTGTTGACCCGTATGCTGTGCTGAAACAAAAGAAAAGAAAAGAAAAAATTAAATCTTACCTACTCTGCCATCCCACGACCAGTGCACGTCGCACGACCGTTGTCGGTCGAAGTCGCATCTCCCCACGTTCTCGGCACGACTTCGCGTCATTAAATTGCCAAAGGAATGAGGCCTTCGGCCTCTGGTTCGCAGCCTCTGCACTACCTCCTCTGACTAAGTAGACCAGGGACCACGATGGCCCGGGACGACGGAACCATGGGATCTTGATCGGGCCCATCATCCATTCCCCCACCATCCGCTTTAAGTGCAAGATGGTGCAAATTTCTATTTTAAATATCAAAATTTTCAAACGTCCAAACTATTTCCAAATCCCAACCCATTGCTGCTACTATATGCCAGATAACACGTATCTCTACGTATCTAATCGATGACTAGCCTTAATTGAAAGTTCTCTCTCGTGATCGGGAGGGGTAATTAACTATATGGGCTTGCTCCTATAGGAAACCAGAACTCAGATCATAAAGTCCTGCAAAATGAGGATTAAATCTCTGGGTAGTGTCTTATCTATAAACCCATATGCCTTCCAAAATTTACCCCGGAACTTAGTTCGTTAAAACTCCCTCGCTCAAATAAAAGCACAATCAATTAGTGCGCAGCGGGGAGGCCGGGGCCGAATTTTTGGAGAGAGTGAGCAAAAGGGAAACTCGAAGGTGAAAGATCTATTTGTTAAGTGCCGGATTATTGTTAATTGCATATGTGTCTTGCTATCGTCTTGTTATTGTCTTGAATTGTTCTGTTAATCTATCGTGTAACCGCATGCTAGAAGCAAGTCAATAACTACGAAAACTGAAGATCCTAACTTAGTGAAACATTAATCTTATAAATTCATTGCTAAAATAAATTTCTTAATAAAATCCTGCAATTCCGTTGTATGTTTCACATCATTTTTGCTGAGGTATGAAAAGGTGGAATGCAATGTAACAATTCAATCATCTAATAAATAATAAGAAATGCATAGTAGTTAGAATTTTTCATTCCTTTAGATGATACCCATTGATAATATCTTAAAAATAAAGACAATCTAGACATTGTTTAAAATAAGTCCCATTTTTTTAATAATTGCATGAATATAAGAGAAATGCAGCTATTGTTGCTCAATAAAAGTGTATATTCACATATGAAAGCAATGCACTGCATATTCCTGCAAATCACAATAGAGCACTAAAAAGAATAGCTCAAGTTCAATGGTTTAGTTTACGTACCACCAAAGTCCAAGATAAGTTATCAAAGTTACTGTATACGCTTGCAGCCCATTAGCCTGATAATTATAAACAAAACAGCATTTAAGAAAATACACTGAGAATTATCGAGAAAGATAATTTGAGCAGGGAACAATGCCAAGCACAACTAATTTGAGAAGGGAAAGAAAGCATGAGTCGAAAACAATCCACCAATTCATTTATGCCCATACTAATACCTCATGAATAAAAAAAAGAGGTGGTTCTTTCTAATTTTAACCAACACCAACCTTATAAATGGGTACGTTGCCTGCAGGAGAGATTGGGCCTTCAAACCTTTTTCCAGGCAATGCAAGCTGCAGAAAAGCTTCAAAGGCACCAAAACAGGCAATAATTTTCCATGCAATGATAGATGGAGTCGGCCATATAGATTTGAAGCCATTGAGCAGACCATGTTGCTTTAAATAATTAAAAGTATGTAGCACCGAACCATCAGCATGGACCATTGTATACCATCTGTAGGAGAAATAGGACTTGAATAAATCAAAATCACGAGTTAACAATCTCTTTCATAGTTTCAGCTATGCTTGAATAAAGTTCAAAATGCATTGATAAAAGAGAAGTAGCATCCTTTACAGCATGATTTTAGAAAGCAAGCATCTTCAGTTATAGTAGCAATAGTAGTAGTAATAATAAAAATAATGATAAATAACTGTGATAAGAACATAATAGTATAATCATAATCATGTTCATTAGGCTTATCCCAACTATGTGGAATCACTAATATGAATTTTAACCTCAAATCCTTTATGTTAATCGCTACAAGCAGTGCTAATTCTAATTTGCACAAGTTCTTTGCATAACTTCTAAACAAGTTTACTTTCATATATACTTTTCCTTCAAAATCCTTCCCAATTAGACATAAACATGAAAAAAACCCTAATTGCTTTGATCATTTGATGACATTATGATTCCTGTTTGAAGTGCAAAGGAATTCACATAAAACATCAGGTCATATTAACCTCCAAGACGCTAAATAAAATCATCGAATAATTTCAGTTTCCCTATCAACATTTGATAGAACCTATTATCATATTTAAATTATCATATAAGCTAACAATTCACAATAAAAAATCATATTATATATCATTATCATTATTAAGGATATTTTCCTTCATTGCTTGCATTTTTTTATCAATATTCTCTTATATTAAGCACATAGAGATGTAGGCCTTTACGAATTTTCTCTTCAAACATGGTAAGAGGCTATGGACTAGAATCTTTTGATCTTCTTTAAGCATCTTACCGCTGATGACGAACTCCCTGACCTTCTAATATCCATTAGCTTGCTCTCACCCTTTCTTCTAACTACAATCCACCTATGCTCAATCAACTTTTCCATCCATGAGATAATCATCTCCATTGTTGACCATTGAAGGATTTGGCCTCCATTCCTCACAAATTTTCTACATTAGTGGTCTTTTGCCTAACTAGGCCAATCATGTTCACTAACCTTGAGTCCTTGACAAGTCCTAAGTTGAATGACAGAAATTTTGCAGCCATGAACAAAGCTTTTTGAGTAAAAAGAATAATTCAGACATATCAACAATGGACAGATAATAATCTCCATTGATTCTCCGACATGAATAAAAAGTTTGCAGCTTTATTTCTTAGCTATACTCTAATATACGTTGTCCAGCCTAACCAATTGAAAGCTAAAACACAAAATTATATAGTCTCTAATATGCATGAGAAAAACTACATGATCTTTAATATAAAAATATTAAGATGAAATTCATGCTGCTTTGGTTTAAAAAGCATTCATTTGTCCTCTTGAAGACAGAACCTTGAAATGAACCCACATGGGATTCAATCTTCAGTCTGAATCATCTTTTACAAAGTAACAAATCTAAAGATTTTATTTGCTTGCAAATTCCACTCCCCTCTTTCTAAAAGTATATGGTAGTCCTTCAAAGTTCCTTGAAAACATTCTTAAAGTTTTTAGGAGCCTCTTAAGATAAATCAGTTCAATTTTTTGTGAGATTGCTTAGTATATCTGAGTAAGCTTTCAATTCATACTTTTTTCAAGCAAAATATTCTAATAGTTTAATTGTGAGAGATTTAACTTGACAAGCCTTAGCATACATCCATGCTATGCATAGAAATCCACACAATAGTATTATTTTATTATTCACTTGTAAGTTAGTAGTATATCTAGAATTTGTTCTACCTACACACTATTCTCACGTGAAGGTTCTTCGTTAACCTTGAAAAGGATACTAGTAAGACTTAGGCTTGACTAGGACTCATTGAACCAAAATAAAGCTGCAAGGTTAGAGTTAGAGTGCCTCACCCATTTAAAGAAGCCAGTGATAGCAGAAATTGCCTAGTAGGAATTTGGAGAGAGAATGCAGAAGCAATTGAAAAGGCAATCATTACAAATTTATTAATTTAATTCTTTTTTACAATCAGATTATTTTTCCTCTTGCTTTTGACTTCATTTGGTTTTGTTCATCTTAATTATCCCCTTACTCTTGCGATAAATTGGTTTAATGTAAACTTAATTTTATTTTGGATTATTTCTTATCACAAAATTTGCCTCCGACCCCCCCCCCCCCCCCCCCCCACACACACACACTTGGGATTGCACAAGAGTTGACATTACTGTTACATGAAGGTCTTAACTCTAATATGATTGAGTGATTCATCAAGCATTACTTAACTAAATCAAAAATATGTGCACAAGGACCAACATTATTGTGCTTTGATATAACATAACTTTTTTGTACCTTTGAGATACATTTTTTTTCTTGATATCTGTCCATTCAATTCTCTAATAATGCACTGATAATTTTTTTTCTAAAAACCATAAACAACTAAATATTTAGGAAGATAATGGAATTTCAGTTTACGTTGATTGAAGAAAACAGGAAGACCATTCACGAAGAAATGCAAATTATGTCATACTCATTATTTTTCTTGATGACCACGTTTCCCAATCTCTTTTTTAAGTTACTGTTGGAGAGTTTTGTGCCGTTAGCTCGCCTTTTTTGTGTGAATTAGCTGCTCTTGATAGTTCTCATTCTTGAACTCAATATTGTCCACCATTGTTTAAAATTGTACCATCGGAGGAGTGCCGCAAGACCCATCTTAGCACAATTTTGAAAAAAAATGCCATAAGGCATACACCTTAATTTGGCTTGATGAGTCGTATGCCTAATGGGATTGAGATGTACCTTTGTGTGATCTGTAAGAGGAAAAAGCCTTAAAACATGGTTTAGGAGATTTAAAATTTTTAATTTATAAATTTAATATATAAAATAAATATTTTTTGTGATTTCTCTACACATAAACCTAAAAAAAGAACAGAGAACTGCAATCATATGCATCTCCTTGGTTCCAAGCAGCACGCTGCACTTGCACCCAACGTTGCTCACACTTGCAATTGTAAGTGAGGATAATGGATGAGAGAAAGCAACTCACTATAATGATAATTCTAAATTTCTAATGAAGGTAGACTAAGTAATGAAAGTGGAGAAATCTTTAGAATTCATAAATTATAATCTTAGTGACTTAGACTATTTTCTTATGCTGACTTGGGAGTGAGAGAGACTTATTATTATCATCTTAAATTGAATTATTATAAATTTGCTTTGTTATTGGTATGTTACTTATCATTTCATATTTTTTTATAAATCTAATGATGATAATCCTTTTTTACCACTGCCTCAACACAGCAATAATCTTGTCCTTGTGCTTTTGTTTCAAAATTTATTGGAGATCCTCTTAGTCTCATGTTCTTCAAGGTTGGATCTTATGTGTCTTATTTTATGCCTTGTATTTAGTCTAATCCCTCCCCGGCGTTTTTTTAGGATACACTTCAATATGCTTTTGAGCATTAAAAAAAAACTAAATAAAGTAAAAAACAACAAAACATGAAAATTAAATTGTTCCTTAAGATCAGCCGATCGCCTGATCTAGTAAATAAAAAGAATCAACAATCACCAAATCCCATCAGAATTAAAAATCTTCGAAAAAATAGATCCGACTTCTTCTTCGAGTAAAAAAATCAAACCCCATCTTCGAAAAATCCATCCCGACTCTCCAAGCTCGCATTTCTCCCTTAAATTCCAGAATTAAAAAAAAAAAAGACAACACAGATTATTATTTCACGCAAAACAAATAAAAAATGTGCGAAATACTCCAAATACTATTGAGGCTTCGTGATATTCTCAACGATCTTAGACAAATAGTCAAAGGACTTACAACAAAATGACGAAGGGCGGACAGAGGGCGAGAAGCGCAATCATCGACGTGTAAGTCACCATCGCCGAATGCACCATTGCCGTCTCACCCATTTTCCCTCCCTCGCTCGCGGTCGCGGCTGCTCTCTTCCCTCCTCACTATTACAGTGGAGGCGAAGCTACTGGTCGCAGAAAAGCAATTCGACCCTTGCGGCCTTGCCCATATATTTTTAGGTCACTGCCAATAAATAATTGGCAATTTTCTGTTAAATATTTGAAGCATCTTATTTATTAAAATCATTAAATTTTAAAAAATAATTAAAGTATGCATTTTATTTCTTAAAAAAAATTATGCATTTTATGATTTATTTGATTAGAAAATTGATCAAAAATTCACAGCCATTTTAATTTCCACAATTTTCATGAAATATTTTTTATATCTTTGTAAAAAGGGAGTATTTTTAATTAAACTTTTTTTTTTATTTAACATGTCAATCAATCCATTAACATAATATTTTATTAAGAATTATACAATTTTTATATATTTATTATATATTTAATGATGATATTTTAACCTAATATTTTTTTCCTTTGGTTTATAAAAAAGCAAGTGGTATTGGCCATTATTAACTTGTTAATACTTTTATTGATATAAATTTGATGATTTGTTATAATAGTATGTATTCAATGAAATATTTCTTTTATTCAAAATAATATACAATAATTATATTAAATATCAATAAATTAATAATAAACGATTTTAATAAGATATTTTCTATTCTTTAACCCATCAGTCCATCACTGCCACGTCACCTCCACCGACCGATAAATTGGTTTTCCACATTCGAACCTGTATCCATCGCCAATTTCTTTCTGTCAGCCTATGGCGAGATTCATATCTCAAACCCTAGTCCGCGATTCCGAAATCCTAGTACGCGAAGTCGCATTCCCTGGCATTAGATACGGCATCATTACACGATCAACGCCGTCACAACTCGTTAGCGTCCGCTTACGATCCTCTCGGCCTAAGGCGAAGCAGCTGTCGGCGTTGGATTTGGGGGGCGGATCGGATGCAAGCACCGTTGAGGTCGAGGTTCTCACCTTGAAGAGGATAGAGGACGCGATCCAGAGTTTCGTCATCAAGAAAGCTGCTCCGGGGTGGCTACCCTTCGCCCCTGGCGCCTCCTATTGGGCTCCGCCTGTACTACAGGGACTCAGTGAGGTGGATATCTTCCATCGACCTGAGAATCTGCTGACGAAGGAGGAGAAGCTTTCTCGTACCACAGTCTGTGGATGGCCATCCTCTTCCTATTTTGTGGATGGTAAGGATTTTGCGTCTTACAGTTATTGATTTGAGGGGTCCTTTTGTTATAAGTTTTGTGCATTGCCTGTGTTTGGTTATTTACGCTTTGGGAATTTTATTATAAGATTTATGGTGCTTATTTGGGTCTCGGCATGGTGGATCTAGCATCATCAGTGTTTCTGCCTGAAAAGCTGAGGCTGTTCATTATTAGAACTTTGACATAATCATAAACTATGCCGCAGTAATTTTTGAGTAGAAGATTTAATTATCTGAATTGATTCCAATGGCTTTTGTTTCTTATCATAAAATTTTTTGTATAGTTATGATGAAATGAAAATGTTAGAGGATTTGAGTTGCCAGTGAATGCTGGTCAAATATGATATTGTTATCTAGTTTGAGCTCACTGTATAGTCTTGTTCATCTGTGTAATGATATTGTGGTATTCTGATTGGTGCCCAAATTTGTGTCAAAGATTGATTGATTGGTTTTCATGTATTGAAGACAAATATGTATGTATTCTCTTGATTTTGAAATTTATGTGTGTTCCTACTGTTTGTTATTGAAACATCTGCAAAACGATTATTTTCTCATTGCCGCTAGATTTTGTGATTAACTGCTGCTATTACCTTCAAAGAGAGAGTATGGGGAGGATAAATATGTTGCTACTGGTCTCTTCACTCTGGAAGATCTGGGACATTTGCTATTCACAATTATGAAGTGGAAGATTCTTCCATCCAATTTCTTTAGACTCTTTTTTTTTGGCCTTCTGATTGGCATAGACACAAGCTGTATGTAGGATGTTGCACCGGAATTCATTAGGATTGATCAATTGGTAGAACCGAGCTTTAAAATAATTTTTTTTACATCCAACTTGAGCAAGGATGAAATAAATAACGCAAATAGATCCATAATATATATATATATATATATGACCCTGCACTATAAATTAATATGTCATATGTCTGTATAACCTGAAAATCCAATAACTCCTACCAACACAATACACCATGTATTTTTGTTATTTATGTGATTACACAAAAAGAGGTGAAGAGTCAAGAGTTTGCATACAAAGTTTTGAATAGATTTTGGATGCTTAGATATCATGATAGGATTACCAATGCTTAAATGATGACCTATACTTTTGGATTATATGACCATTTATATTTGAATAATTGCATTGTTATTGCTAGAATAGAAGGGTTTAAGTGAGGGATGTAAATGAGTTGATTCAAGCTTGAATCAAATAGGCTCGAGCTCGACCTCACATATGGAGCTGAAACTTGTATCATCAATGTATTGGCAAGCTCACATTCCACTTATGAGCTCGAGGTTTCTAGAGAAGTGTTATTGGAAGTCGCAATGTGAGTTTGGTGTACAAGCTACCAATAGTGTTTGAAGGAGAATAAAAGGGAATCTTGATGATGGCAAAAGCAACATTTGAAGAAGATGAAAATGAGGATGTCGCAATGGAAGCTTGTTGGAGATGATATCAATAATGTTTGAAGGAGAAGAGGGGGAAGTTGCAATGGGAGCGGTGGTGTGCTGGCGTTTGGAAAAGAAGATAAGTTGTTGCAACAGGAGCTTGGTGAAAAGGTGAGAAGATAAAGTTGCAACGGAACGAAGAACGAAATTGGCGACATAGCATGGGAGGGGCATGCCCTAGGTTCCTAAATTGTGCGGACATGAGAAACCTTTTATACTATCTACCATAAAGGGATTTAATAAAGTTGGCTCATAAGCCAACAAGCCGAGTAAAGCTTTAGATCAAACTCGTATATTATAAGAGTTATATTTGAGCTTGAGCTCAAGCTTGTGGCTTGATAAACTTGACTTGTGAGCTTTTTAACGAGTAACTCACTTGCACCCTAGCTTAAGCTAAAGATGTTATGAACATGTAAGCTTCATCAGGAATGCTTCTTGTTTTATAGATCAGGTTGCATGATGTATTTTTTTGTTTGAAAATGCCATGTTTTGGATTAAAAAAAATTGTTCTTTTTGGAGTGATCCAGCACTTTATTCATCAATGATATGAGAAGAAACTTTTTACCGATTAGCTATCAGTTTTCTATCACCATTGAATCTTCAAAACATGCTTCAATTAGCAAAATGATTTGGTCATTTTTCTGATATAATTTACTACTCTGCTCCTATTTGTGTTTGGAGCCAATGAGCTTCAATTCCATATCTATCTTGTTTGAAGAATAGTAGAGCAGAAGCTTATTTAAGTATGTGGCCTTAAATGATGAAAATTTGGTAACAACTGGTTAATTTCATGATCATGTGTTAGAATAAAGAAAGCCATGAAACAGTCCAAAATTAGTTATTTTTAAACCTCAAGTCAACTGTAATACAAGATTTGAAGCCCACGGATTTCGTATGAATAATCTTTAGAAGAGGATGATTTTGACTTCGTTTGGGACGGCTTTCTTTCTGCTTCTTAAAGCAGTTTTTTAATACAAAATTTTTTAGGGTATATATCTTTCTAATTCCTTATGATATTTTTTATCAAATAATATTTCTGTTACTGTGATATTTTTTATTTTAGTCTATTCTGAGTCTTTTTCATCTGATCATATGGATTTATCTATCAGGTGTAATTCCTGTACATTCAACCATGATATCGACGCCTAAAGTTACAGCAATACAATCTGATGATGAGGAATGAATGACAGCTGAACAAGAAACGCCTAATGCAATTCACAAGTTGGCCTCTTTTTTCACCTGATTGATTACTATAAACCCCCCCAATTATAATCCCTTTGACTTCCATCATCCATTCTTGTAGTATCATTTTCAAAGATCGAAAAGCCAAAAGCTTTGATGGTTTGGTCACATAAAAAGGCGGCCTTCCGACGACCCAGTTAAGAGAGTAGAGGTATTAGATTTGACTTGTGTTAAGAAAGGTAGGGGTAGACCTAAAAAGACTTGGTTAGAAAATATTAGGAATGACCTTTCTTTATTAGATTTAAACGAGAATTTGGCTTTTAATAGGACACAATGGAGAAAAAGGATTCATGTAGCCGACCCCACGTAGTGGGATAAAGGCTTGATGTTGTTGATGTTGTTGTAGCTTTTGACTGCTTTATCTTTCAGATTGTTTAGATATTTCTGTTTGGTTACAATTAGTTCATTGGTTTAACTGCAGCCGAAAGGGTTGTTTTTATATCAAATGTTTTATCCTTCAAATTATAATTACATTTTTATTTTGCTATTGTATTTTTTTTTAATTATGTTGGAAAGTTTTTTTTTTTTAAATTAGATTCATTAGCATGTAATATAAGGAAATATTTATATTACTTAAAATATATATTTTTCATAATAATTTTACCATCATTTTTCACAAAAATTGCAGTGGCTCCAAACAATCTCTAAGCCTTAAGGATTGTTTTCTTAGTAAATTTTTAGTAAAAAAATTTCTTAAAAATAGTGAAAAATAATAGCAAAAAATTTATCCTAATGAAGCCTAAATCAACATCCCGATGTCAACTTTTTATGTTTCTTTAATATCAAATGCTTATTGAAGGTTTACTGATTATTGTTCATTGATATTGATAAAGACTAATAAGAATAAAGAGTAATAAAAAATTTGGTATATTACATTTTCATCTTTATGGGACCATTTAAATCAAGTAAATTTTAATTTCCTTTTTTAGTAGATTTCCATTAAATTTGTATCCGTAGTTGAATAAATTATTCTGTTTGAATATCGGACACTGTTCGGAGACCAATTTAAACATGTCACGTCATTTTTTGTTCGGTATTGGTGTTGGATATCAGGTGACGTTGCGCGTTCTGATTGGCCTCCGAAACATCCGTTTTTCGCACAGAATAATCTCTCCCCTCGTTGGGTCATTTCAATTCCAAAACTCAGTAGGTCAATGGTTCGACCATTATTCTTCCCTTGCTTGCCAAACTATTTTTCTTAACTTGATAGCACATGATATTGAGATAAATATTTGATGATATTGCCGAACACACTAACTTGTAAATATTTTGATAATATTAGAAGAAAAGAAGTAGCTGAAATGAATGCGGCTTACAATAATAATAATAAATGAAACAGTCAACAAAGCTATTGCAATACAATAACTAATTAAACAGTCGACCAAAGAAACAGTAAAAAAAAAAAGCCTAAATTTCTATCAAGTGTACAGTTTTAATACTAGCGTCAGAAATGAAACAAAAAATATTAATATGTTTCCATTATCTCGTGGAGCTGCTGCACCTGAATGCGACGTGTTAATTCCTGCCTCTATGGCAGCCTAAGAAGGTTTTATTTGGTGCAGCTTTTGACTGCTTTATCTTCAGATTGTTGCGATATTTCTGTTTGGTTACAATTAGTTCATTGGTTTAACTGCAGCCGAAAGGGTTGTTTTTATCTCAAATGTTTTATCCTTCAAATTATAATTACATTTTTATTTTGCTATTGTATTTTTTTTTAATTATGTTGGAAAGTTTTTTTTTTTTAAATTAGATTCATTAGCATGTAATATAAGGAAATATTTATATTACTTAAAATATATATTTTTCATAATAATTTTACCATCATTTTTCACAAAAATTGCAGGGCCCCCAAACAATCTCTAAAGCTTACTTAAGGATTGTTTTCTTATTATTTTTTAAAGTAAATTTTTAGTAAAAAATTTTCTTAAAAATAGTGAAAAATAATAGCCAAAACTTTTCCTAATGAAGCCTAAATCAACATCCTGAAATCAACTTTTTATGTTTCTTTAATATCAAATATTTATTGAAGGTTTATTGATTATTGTTCATTGATATTGATAAAGACTAATAAAAAAAAATTGGTATATTACATTTTCATCTTTATGGGATCATTTAATTCAAGTAAATTTTAATTACTTTTTTAGTAGATTTCCTTTAAATTTACTATCCGTGGTTGAATAAATTATTCTGTATGAGCATCGGACAGAGTTCGGGGACCAATTTGAACGTGCAACGTCAATTTTTTGTTCGGTATTGATGCTGGATATCAGGTGACGTTATGTGTTCTGATTGACCTCCGAAACATCCATTTTTCGCACAGAATAATCTCCCCTTGTTGGGTCATTTCAATTCCAAAACTTGGTAGGTCAATAATTCAACCAATAATCTTCTCTTGCTTGCCAGACTATTTTTCTTAACTTGATAGCACATAATATTGAGATAAATATTTTGATAATATTAGAAGAAAAGAAGTAGCTGAAATGAATGCCGGCTTACAATAATAATAAATGAAACAGTCAACAAAGCTATTGCAATACAATAACTAATTAAACAGTCGACCAAAATTTTAGTCCAATTATTTTCATAATTCTTAGAGGTCGAAAATATATTAGAAGAAAAGAATTTATGATATTTGTTTAATGCATACCTTCAATCTTTCCCTCTTTTGATTGATCTGCAATGCATGTTCTTCTAAGCCTCCTTTTCCTATCACATTTAAGCATTTTATAAAAACAAAATCATCACAAATTAATATTTACTGCAATAATTAGGGTTCTTACCATCCAATATTTCTCACAATGTATTCACTGTGAAACATAGAAAAATGGAAATTTAATCTTCCATATATTCTTCAATCTTCTCAAGGAATACAATTAAATGAGATCAAAGGCTACACCATTTGATTCACTACTCTCAAAAAAGTAGGCCACACCGAACATATCACCTAAATATGGTGCAATATTTCTGTTTTTTCTGTTTTTTTTTTTCAAGAGAATTCAAACAGAACTGGAAGGAAAAAAAAAAAAAATAACAGAAAATGTGGGCAGCAATACAACTAAGAAATGAAGATGGAAGGCCTGGTTGAAAATCCAAAAACCTGTAACAGCACAAGTCGTCTGTACAGGATACACAGCCCAGCAAAATTTTAATTGACCGTTGATAGCTAATTGCAATGTTCCATCCCAGATTTCAGAAGTTTTGCCTCAAACAGGTTTCACTCTGTTGTTCAGCCGACTCTTTAACTGCAAGAAACTCAATTTGTTGTAGGAGAACAATAGGTTTCTGATAGTTGTTACAAAATAAAAATAAAATTCATGATGATGCTGGGCTTATTGTAATGGTTTGATTGGTCATGAATAAAAAAATCATGAAAATAACATTTTGCCAAATACTAATTGTTTGACTTGGTTACCTTGGGAATTCGAATTGCAAGGCCTCAAAAGATGAGGGAAATGCAGAATTTGTATACAAATAAATATGAATTACTATACAACAACATAACAATAACATCGAGCCTTTATCTCATTATGTGGGGTCAACTATATGATTCTTTTTTCTCTATTTTATCATATTAAGAGTTAAATTCTCATTTAAATCTAATAAAAAAAATGTCATTTCTAATATTTTCTAACCAAGCATTTTCAGGTCTATTTTTACCTTTTTAAACATAAGTCAAATCTAATATATCTACTTTCTTAACCGGGTCATCGGAAGGCCGCCGTTTTATATGACCAAACCATCTAAGATGACTCTCTCTAATCTTATCTTCCACGGGAGCTACTCCAATATTTTCACATATATGCTCATTTCGTATCCTGTCTCTAAGTGTAAAGCAACTTATCAACCTTAGCATCCTCATCTTTGCAACACTTAATATTATGCTTCTCGTTTAATGGCCAACATTATGCACCATAAAACACTGCTAAAGCATGTGGTAAAAGCCTAATGTCACTGCCTCCAGCCAAAAATTATTTTCTTCTTCAATGGTCAAAATGTGACCATACTTGCTGCTATCGCATCAAATTCATAAACGATGATGCCAATGGCTCACGCTTTTGCAGTCCCTTCTGTGCCTCAGCCTCACAACGTCCTCTCCAACACGACCCACAATACTAATTGACTGAAGAAAAGGAGGGTTCCAATCGCCTAAAGCTGCAAAACCTAAACGAGACATTAAAAAGCGCTCGGCAAATGCTCTTGTTCTTAAACTTGCTGACCTTCCATGGTCTTCAATACGGTTTGTGATGCGAGAATGGTCATCAAGTTGATTACTTTCACGAAAAATTAAATCAAGCCAAAGAAAAATATTCCAACTATGACTATGAGACCAGGATGTTCTTACTTTTATCATTACTAAAGCGTGTGGTAAAAGCCTCGCCTAAGCCTCCAAAGGGAAAAAGGCTCTAGTAGATAAATAAACAATCATAAAGGAACTATTTGACTATAAACCAAAAAAAAAAAAATCCCACAAGCGTAAAATCTACTGGTTAAATTACTGTAAACTATATTATAATATTTGTTCAATTTTAACAACTGTTGATTTGCAGCATTCGATTAATTCATTTACTCATCCAGTTTACTTCAGTGCTTAGAACATAAATCTCAGGTTTAGGAGAAGGTAAGTGAAAAATATGTAATACAATTTGTTAGAAAATAAGAAGGAACAAGAAACATGTACGCAAAAACAATGTCACTGACAATGCCTCTTATCCAACTTAAAACAGAAAATGCAGTAACTGATGGAGTTATCTTAAACATACCATTTCAACATATTTCAAATGTTTGAGAACTTCCTCTGTATCTAACTCCTGCAGTATGGGATGATGACAAAATGATAATCTGAATTTATAAACCGTAAAAAAAAAAAAACATAAATAAAAAAATAATCTATAAATGAAAGCAATTCAAGAAGATGAATAATTTAGTTGGTTAATTAAACCTCATTAAGGAGGAAAAATATAAACAAGAAATAGTTCATACTTCATAAACATGCACAACCATTAGATGAAGCAATATTCTAGTACAACAACAACAACAACAACAACAACAACATCAAGCCTTTATCCCACTACAACAACAACAACAACAACAATATTCTAGCAATATTCTAGTACTGGGCATAAATCAATCTTCATAAAAATGTCCTGTTAAAAAAAGGTATGAGTGTCGCATCTTCCTAGAAGCTCGGATTATCTAATCCATGCAGAAACCAAAAGTGTAATATAGATGTACATCTAACCAAGAAATCATGACGCCAAGCTCCAATCATCTCTGAATTTAATCTAATCTAAGCAACCGAATAGGTTAAGCACATACCTGAGGCACAGCACAATCAGCATGTACTGGGTCCCAAAGAACAGCACAGAAACAATCCCAATCATCAGTTTGAACAGAAAAAAGTGGTGCCCTGCAACAGAAGCTTGTCATTCTAAAAAATAAACTGCCACATCAGAATTAACAGCATTATAAAATCATCAAAATTTGTCCAGCATAACACGTGAAAATGCTAAATAAGTACATTGGACTAAATAAGTGAAGCATGTGCATACAACTTAACACAAAATTTGGAACACTTCATATTACTAAAGAAACAAATAAGTACAGAAAAGTACTGAACATAAATCAAACATGAATATTTAGAATAGTGATCTATCAAAGAGGAAAGATAGTTGCCTGCAATTGACTAGTGTTGCCCACAATACCAAAAACTATAAGTGAACCAATGTACTTGATGAACAACTCAAGTTTGGCTCAATCAATACTCACACAAGTTAGTAATAAAATAAGCTTGAACTCTCTTCGAAAACTCAAAAGCTAAATGAATCAAGTTGTCAGTTATTCAACAAATAATTGTTAAATGCATGGTTCTCATATGTTATTTGATGGGACATCGCTCAGAGATTCCGACACGTGTACCGGCGAAGAGATTGTAGATCAACGGCCACGATTCAGAGTTTTTACTTTTGATGTGTTTTATTTTATTTTCAGTTTTTCCGAGTTTACCTTTGTGGGGAGTGTTTTCTTGTTGCAGCCTTAAGGGCATTTGTGTACTTTGCTTTTATTTATGTTGGAGGCCTATATATAGTGGCATTATGCTTTGTAAAAGGATGATGAATGATTATTGAAAGAAAAATTTCAGCTCTTTGGTTCAGATCTCTTTATGAGTTCTTGAGAGGAGAGACGCTAGGCGAGGGATCACGCAATACCCGTCTACCTTTGGTGGACTCCAAGGTTCGCGACTTTAGTTCTTTTATCTCTTAGCCCTTCCAACTCTCCCTCTTCCCCAACCACCACCGGCTTACTCCCCCACCACCACCCTTCATTTTCCCTAACTAGCCACCACCTCAAAACCACCAGCCTCTCCACATCTCTCTCTCTCCCCTACCACCCGGAACCAACCATTCCCCATTGGCTCCACCCAAGCTGCCGGCCACATACCTCTCTACCCAACCCACCGGCCACCTTCACACCATCCTCAAATCCTTTGACGCTAAACCCTTACCCATCCCCACCGCCGGCCAAGACCGCATAACCGCCGGCCGAAACCCTTTCTTCAAGCTCCACCGCCGGCCCACCCATTAAACCCTTCCATTATGATGATTTCAATCATCATAACTCCCTTCTTAAATGAGCTCCAAGAGAAAAGGAAAGTAATTACCTCAATTTGAAATTTGAAATTCAAATTTCAAAAACTTTCCTTATTTGCAAATCTTAATTAGGAACGTGCATAAATTCAAGTCTATTTGAAATTCAAATTAAATTGGATTTCATGACATCTTTCCTAATTCCCATGTGTTGTTTTGGAAACTCATAAAACTCTCCCCACAACTCCCTCCCCTTCCTCTTCATACCGCCGGCCTACCCATTAATGGGATCAATCTTATTGCTTCCTATTAAGGCTCGCTCCCACTTTAATTTGAATTCAAAATTCAAATTAAATCCTGCCAAATCCACTTAAAATTTTGAAATTAATTTCAGATTTTTGATTAATTTCTCTCTCCTCTTCTAACGTAATCCAAGCCCACACCCCAAACCACCCCTCCCCCTCTCCCCACTTTGGCCGCCTCCTTTCCCTTGCATCCCCTCTCTTGGGAAACCCTAGTTTGCTTATGAGACTTGAATCCAAGAGAAGAAAGCGTCCTCCTCTCCCAGCCTCATCGTCATTGGTGCATAGTCGATCCTGAAGTCGATCATGGCCTCGCTTACAACGCCCTCGGGGAAATCGACATTCTCAGCTCCCCTTTCTACGAGCCCGACTGGGAGTACAACGAATCGGTGGAAGACTACGTCAATCTCATCCTCTACTGTCTAGCGGGGACGATTGATCTTCAAAACCCAAGACGCCTTGGCTCATCATCGGTCACCCGCCGCCTCTTCCACCGTCGGCTACTTCTCCATCAACGAAGGTCTTCGGCGCCATCTTCCTAGTGCTAATCTCCTTCCTTATAGGGTTCGTCTTTCTCCGCTAAAGCCTAAGAGTGGAAGAGTGAAAAGCTGCTCAAGGTGAACTTCTCGTTATTAAGTGTTGAGTTTTGTTATGAGCATGTAACATTTACTATTGTTTTGAATTTTTGATTAAATTGTTTGGCTAATCTCAACAGCACTTCTTTGCCTAAGCAAATTAAAAATTTTGAATTCCAAAATCTATCTGTATTGCAAGCAATAATTCTATATTGGCACGTTTTGGTCAATTAATCATTATAATTTCTCAATTAACTCCTACAAGTTTCACATCATTATTTGATTAAAATTGACCAAATATATCTTATTTAATTACATGCTTAATAGTAATATATCATACATTTATTTATTAGTCTAGGGTACTTTGCTCATTCTCTTGTTTCCATGATTTCGCCTCTTGTTCCACAGTTTTGAGTTATTTTGCTTCAGTCTCACCAATGGCCTACTAGAGCTAGGGTACGAGGTCACAAATTGCATGAGTTCCAAGCTATAAAGCATTGCTGAACAAAATTAGCAACAATTAATAACAAGAAGAATCTATCAATATCACTGACTAATGTAAAATCATGCTTATCTCAACTATTTAAAGTTTCATTATTTCCAGCCAATTGTTGTCTAGGGTGCTAAATTTATTCAACACAATCATATTTAACAAACATTATCCATGTTGTCATAGTCATATCATTTCTCCTTCATAATCCCTTAATGTTGTATTTATATGTCGGTCTAATTGATACATTTTATATCCTTCTTTGTACATGTCCAACTAATCTAAATCTATTTTTATGAACTTATCTTCAATAAATACCACTCTAATCATCTATCTAATAAAGTTGATTCTAAATGATAAATTTTGGGCAAGTGTGACCTATGCCATATTGAGCACAATACCCTTAATAGAAGTGCTACGATTAGTGGATGCCGAGAAGAAACTAGCCATGGGTTTTATATATAATGCAATGGATGAGGCAAAGGAGTTGATTGCACATAACTTGGGAGGGGAGAGGAGGCTAGTTGTAGAGAGATTTGGGATATCAACGATGCTTGGTGGGAGGTCCGATTAAACCGTCATCTACATGCAGCAGCGTATTATCTCAATTCTCAATTTCAGCATTCCGCGAGGAAATCCTCAGATTCAGAGGGGAAGCTGGGCTTAACCATTGCATGGATCGGCTTATACCGGACCAAACCGTCAGGGAGCTTGCAGATTTAGAACTTGTTATATTTCGGAATAGGGAGGGATTTTTTGGTATGCAAGCATCAAGATCTACTATTGTCAAACGCTCTCCAAGTAAATCTTATTTTTTGCAAAGTAACCATACATGCATAACACTTTAATATGTTCTGATTATCATTTGTCTTCTTGAAAATAGTTGAATGGTGGATCCAATTTGGTGATTCCACCCCTGAGTTACAAAATTTTACAGTTAAAATTTTGGGCCTCGCTTGTTCTTCCTCTGGGTATGAGCGAAACTGAAGCACAGATAGTCAAGTGCAAATGAAGAGAAGAAATCGAATTTCAACACTCAGAATGAACTCCCTTGTGTATATTATGCACAACAAGAGGTTAAGAGATAAGAGGTTGAGGAACAAGAGGTTGAAGGATGATGAGGACCCTTTGGTGTGTGATGATGTGGCGTCTAATAATGAGTGGTTTATAAATGATGAGACAAATTTGTCATTATCATACCCGCAGCTAGAGGATCTAAGTGTGAATGTTTTGAGGGGCGAAGCTGATCAAGCGGGCACATCCACTAGTACCACACCACACACATCCATTAGTACTGCAACACAATAAGCAAACAAGTGTATCTCACAATTTCTTATGTGCTATTACATTTAAAATATATACAATTAACAGCACACTAATCATTCTTATTGAGTAGAGAAGAGAAAAGTGGGTAACATTAAAGATAATGAAGATTTAACATTCATAGATACAATTAGAGATGAAGATGCCTCCCTTGAAAACCAATTTAGTGATGTGACATGATTGGATTTTAGATGTTCTTTCTTATTTGTAATTTGGGAGTTTTGATAAATTTCAATTTATGGTTTTGTACTTTGAATTATGCTATGAGATGTATATATTGCATCTATTTTATTGTTTTCCACTAAGTTCACTTCTCATTTAGATGTTTTTATTGTATTATAGACTCTTACTGTTATTTACCTGCTAGAATACTTAAATTCTCATTTACGCAATTCGTCGGCCGTGAGGCTTACGCCTCACACCGCCTCGAAATTTATTTACGCAATTTTAAACCTTGATTTTAACTTTGCATCATATATTCCTTATTTGTAACTTAAGTTAAATTTGAACATGCTTCATAATACTTCCTTATTATAATAATACTAATTCAAGACAAATGTATATTTCATAACTAACTACTAATGTGATGTGTTTTGAAATGTTACATTGATAAATTAAAAAAAAATAGTTGAATTTGAATTTTATTATGAAAAAAAAATATTATTTTTAATATTTCTTCAATTTATATCATCATAATATATTTTAATGTTTTTAAATAAATCAAATTAAAATGGTGAAATTTATGCTTCATTCTATATAAAGGCCAAACATTTTCTTTCACGCTTTCGCTTATCAAAACATTGATAACGACATGTTTTTATCGTGAACCACTTTTTCATATAATTCACATCATTCTTGAGAAAAGCAGAAGACCACATATCAAAATTCTTTATAAAAAGGTGTATTCACGTCCTTTACACAAAAAATTAAGCAATTTTGACAGGCACATCTTGGCCTAATGGACATTTATATAATGATTTAAAATCTCATATCTCTCATACAAGTACATTCTTGTACATATCAAAAATATTTATAAAAAGATATTTATATTCATGTAGCTGCAACAGTTGAGCTAGTTAGCTTAGGCATGATCATGAAAACTCCTTAGGAAAATACTTAAGACGCATAAGTATGAGATAATAAGAAAATAGAAGGTAAATAAACACAAAATTATCAGACTTACCTCCGCCACTTGCCACATATATTTCCATTATCATCTTCTTCTTTGCATTGTAGCCAATTACCAATTGAACATGATTTAGAGGATTTGCTCCAACTCCAACCCTATGGAAAAAAAATTGAAAAGCTGAACCAGCAGATTCATAATATTAGCCCATAAAAAGGTAGATAGCACCGGGGCCACCCAAATTTGAGAAATGTTTTACTCAATGACAGAATTTATTGAGAGCATTCTATAGGCCACTTGATAATGGAAATTTGAAAGTTATACTAGTCGGAAAACATAAATTTGGTGTTAGTACGAGCATTTTGATGATATTAGCAGTATTTTTCTATAGAAAACGAGTTATATTCTATACTATCTATATTAGTTCGAATGGGTTCACTTTTGTGATGGCTTTTGTTTTATAGTATCTATTATTGTTGTTTTATATTTTTGCCCAGAAGAGTTAAATCTGAGGCAAAGGCGATGATTGGAAATTATGATTTAGATATACAATATCATTCAAGAAAAGCAAAAGTTGTTGATGCTTTAAGTAAAAAAGCATCAGGCAATGCATAATTGCAAACTGGTTAATTACTCAGCAGAAGCATTAAGAACATGGATTGATTGGAGTTATCCGCAGTCACTTCTGCTAATGAAATTTTATAATAATGAAGCAGATGATAATTTAGCCTACTTTGAAAAATAGAAAATGTGATGCATGACCGTAGGATGTTGATTTTAAATTTTTTTTACTTTTGGTGAAAGCCGATATATATAAGAATATGAAACTGATGAGGATGAATTGTTGAGATACAGAGGCGAGATTTATATTCCAAATGTTGACAATTTGAAAAAAGAAATTTTATAAAAAGCACACTATTCAAATAATGTCATTCATCCAATATGTAACAAGGCTTATCGAGAACTTAATGGACTGTTTTGGAGGCCAAGGTTAAAAAAAGTATAGCATAATTTGTTGCTAAACATCCTACTTGCCAAATGGTTAAACCTAAACACCAAGAGCTAATGGATTATTACAACTCTCGTCGATACCAAAATGGAAGTGAAATGAAATTGCTATGGATTTTTTATAGGGATATCAGATCATGGAAAGTATATCATGCCGATCTATTTTTGAATCATCATATGTATTTATTTTATTTATTTTCTTTATGTATTTGTTTTATTAGCATTTCCCATTTTACCCTTATGTAAGCCCTAGGGGCAATGTCGTCTTTTAGTTCTCTTTCATTGCATGAGGCTATATATAAGCCCCTTATGTTTCTTTTGAAGTTAATGAATGAATGATAATGAAAATTTCTGCACCCTTGTGTTTGTGTGAGAGCTTTGGAAAGAAATCCCTAGGAGAGGGAATCAGATCACCCACCAACCTTGGAAGTATCCGGGTTTGTGACTCTTTTCTTCCCTATCTTTTTCTCTCCCTCTCTTTCCCTCCATAACCGCCGGCCCTCACTAGCAAGTACTCCTCCCATCGACCAACAAGCACCACCACCACCTCTCCAAGCCGCCACCCATCTAATTCCCTCCACCCCTCTTGGCTGAACCCACCACCAATACACCTGAAATCCCATCCCAACCCTAACCTAGCCGCCGGCCTACCCCCTTACCCTTTGCCTCCAAAATTTCAAAGCCTGTTGATGTAGGCAAGCTTTGGGCTGCTTGCTACCTCTTGATTTTGTCCTTGAGATGTTTGTTGTTTCTCTATTTGGGGCCTTGGCTGCTCTCGGGTGGACTTTGGCTGCTTGGTTTTGAGCTAAAAAAGTTGGTTTCTACTTAGTTGTTAGCTCATAAATGTTTGAGCTGATGTTTTAGTTCATTAATTAGAAGAGTAATTGCACTTCCTAGCTCATAAAATCATAAAGGTATGTAGCTTGTCTCTTCCTATTCTTGTGTCTCATTGATTTCTTCCTTGTGAATAAAGGCTCTGCTGGTTGTCTTTTCATTTCTTCCCCTGGCTGCTTTCCCGTGAATTCCCTGCCCCGTTTCCTAGCTTGGCTCCTCGGGTCCCTTGCTGGTTGGGTTTCCTATGGCTTTTATTCTTGTTTTCTGTGCAGATTTTGGGGGCTGTTTTGCCCTGTTTTATGTGCAGATTTTGGGTATTGTTTTTGGTGTCTTTTAGCCTTCCTCTTCCCCTTAATTAATTGGTTTCAAGTGGTTGTTTGTCTCCCCTTTCTCTCATATAAATATGTGGTGTTTTTTGTTAAAAAAAGGTTGTGTGCTGATTTTTGGAAAGAAACCTGAGGGTTTTCTTGGATAGCTTATGAGCTATGCCACTTCTTCCTCTCCTTGGGAAAGCTTGCAAGCTTGTCCTCCTATCCTTCGTCTCGGAATTCCAACCTCCTTCTCGCCTCAAGTGACCACCCCACATGTATCCTTCTTCTCAAACGATGGAATTGCAATTTTCGGTGTTTTATGATTGTCAAGAGTTGTAAGTAATTGTTTATGTTTGTGTTTGTAAGTGTCAAAATTTGTAAGTCTTTTATCTTATAAAAAGTTATATTTTGTCGTATTTGTGTCTGTTTGGGTATATTTGTGTAATTTTTGTATCATAAGAAGTGTTTGTTTTTTGCTTGCAAAAATTTGGCTTTCTCCTAATTTTTGCTTGCATCAATTTGATATCAAAGCCTAATTGTGTGTCTTCATAGGTTGTTTTGTCTTTTTTTAAGTGTTTAAAAAATGGAAAATGACAAAAAAATTGAGTCTGTTGTGGAAGAATGCAACCCAAAAGATCTTAAAGTCCCTCTTCCGATGGACAGATGGGTTCCGACAGATGGAGATTCAACAGACCCATTTCAAAATGAACTTTATAAGATACAAAGATGGATGTGCTTATGTGATGAGAAATTCAAAAGAAGAACTGAGGTACTTCTCGCCGAATTTAATCAAGAGATGGAATTGATTGAACAAGAGTACAAGGCCAAGATTCAAGAGCTTAATGCGCTTCCTTCGTCTCCTCGGATCAAATCTAAAGCAACCTCATCGGGAGATGAGCATTTTCAACCGGAGGAGAATTGATGCAGGCAAGCTTTGGGCTGCTTGCTACCTCTTGGTTTTGTCCTTGGGTTGCTTGTTGTTTCTCTGTTTGGGGCCTTGGCTGCTCTCGGGTGGGCTTTGGCTGCTTGGTTTTGAGCTAAAAAAGTTGGGTTCTACTTAGTTTTTAGCTCATAAATGTTTGAGCTGATGTTTTAGTTCATTAATTAGAAGAGTAATTGCACTTCCTAGCTCATAAAATCATAAAGGTATGTAGCTTGTCTCTTCCTATTCTTATGTCTCCTTGGTTTCTTCCTTGTGAATAAAGGTTGTGCTGGTTATCTTTTCATTTCTTCCCCATGGCTACTTTCCCGTGAATTCCCTGCCCCGTTTCCTGGCTTGGCTCCTCGGGTCCTCTCTGGCTGCTTTCCCGTGGCCAGCTGGCTGGGTTTCCCGTGGCTTTTATTCCTGTGTTCTGTGCAGATTTTGGGGGCTGTTTTGTCCTATTTTCTATGCAGATTTTGGGGGTTGTTTGTGGTGTCTTTTGGCCTTCCTCTTCCCCTTAATTATTTGGTTTCAAGTGGTTGTTTGTCTCCCCTTTCTCTCCTATAAATATGTGGTGTTTTTTGTCAAAAAAAGTTTGTTGTGTGCTGATTTTTGGAAAGAAACCTGAGGGTTTTCTTGGATAGCTCACGAGCTATGCCACTTCTTCCTCTCCTTCTTGGGAAAGCTTGCGAGCTTGTCCTCCTATCCTTCGTCTCGGACTTTTAACCTCCTCGTCGCAAGTGACCACCCCACATATATCCTTCTTCTCAAACGATAGAATTGCAATTTCAGGTGTTTTATGGTTGTCAAGAGTTGTAAGGTAATTATTTATGTTTGTGTTTGTAAGTGTCAAAGTTTGTATGACTCTTTTATCTTAAAAAAAGTTATTTTTTAACGTATTTGTGTCTTTTTGGGTATATTTGTATAATTTTTGTATCCTAAGAAGCATTTGTTTTTTGCTTGCAAAAATTAGGCTTTCTCCTAATTTTTGCTTGCATCACCTGTCATCATTGCTTTCCTTTCCTACATAATCTCTTTTGGGAAAGTTTTTAATTTCAATTATTCATGCAAATTTAAATTTTGAAATATTTCCTAAAATAGAATCCTATTTTAGAAAAGTTTCTAAATCAAATCCAAATTAGATTTAAATTGAATTGGAATTAAATCCTCTTCCTTAATTTGATATTCCTATTTAAGTACTAAATCCCCCCCAATCCCCATCCCTATGCCGCCGGCCTCCCATCCTTACCCTTTCCCTGTCTCTCACCCGCCCCCTCTAATGTGAAACAAACATGTGAAGATGAGTTGCTTAAGGAAATTGCACGCTTAATATTTAGAGCACAATAATTATATCTTTATAGTGATTTTGAATGACAATATAAAACATAAAGAGCGGTGACATAAACTTAGGTTAAATCACATGTGTAGGAGTTAAGACCGTAAAACAATCAATTAGTCTAACATTGCATACATAGAAAGTTTCAACAAGAAATTCATAAAATAACAATGAGATTAATACTATGAAGGATCCCTCACACAATTCTATAATTTACTAAGCTTTAACGGAGGACTAACACGATCTCAATGAATCAATTAAATTCCACAATTGAAAGAAACGAGGAAAATAAAGAGTGAGGGAAAGAGTTCACCGAAGGTAGCCGACGACGGATGGATTGGTTGACGTCCCACGATCATCCACGATCCGATTGGGAGGTGTTCCTCAATTGACGGTGCCAACGTGAAGATGATGCGTTCAATGTAGCTTTCCACGAGGTCGTCGACGTCCAAATTGAAATCGAAGAGTGGAGATCGGAGAATGTCGGTCCGGTCCAGAGAATCCTCTATGAACCCATAATCAACATCTGGGTTGGCCATGCATGATTGTCTAAGAGAGAAAGTAGAGAGTGAGAGGGGGAAGGGATCGGGTAGGTTCGGCCAAGCAAAGGGGAAGAAGGGAAAAGGGTTAAATCTGAAAATAATTTCAGATCTAGTGAGTAATTAAAGAGTAATTTCCTTGAAATTTGAATTTGAAACGAGTGGGAATTATGAGGTAAAGTGGGGATGGGATTGAATTAATTAGATC